GGACGAAGCACGTTGAGATCGACTACCATTTTGTGCGTGACAAAGTCGCCTCCGGGGAATTTATTGTCAATTTTGTGTCCACTAAAGATCAACTGGCAGACATCCTCACCAAACCTCTACCGGGACCACGCTTCACTGCTCTCCGAGGCAAGCTCAATGTTGTCTCGCACCCACCTTGAGCTTGAGGAGGTGTGTTAGTAATGTTAATTATTCTTATGTTATTTCTATTGTAATATGTTTATTATTTTATGTGGTGCTAGTCTGTTTAACTTAAACTAGGCTATTAGATAGGAGCAGGTTACGTTATCTATTCCTTTTAGTATTGTAACTTCTATCTTTATTAATTCAATTTTGAAATTCACTTCTCATCTGGCTTTTTGAGATTTGGTCACCATTTTAATCTTTGACCTTGTGAAATAAATTTCTTCAATGTTAGTTTTAACAAGCCTTCTTTTACAATACAATTATTAATTGGATATCTACTCATATGATTTCTGGATTATAGCATTGAATTGTTTTCCTTAGCCACCGCATTTTCTTAGTCAGCTGCCAGGTTTCATAAATTTACACACATTAAATTGGGAAAATGTTTATTAAGATTGCTAATTTGTACCTTTTCCAAAATTATTAATTTTAGATAGTTAATTTATTAAATGAAATAATATAAAATTACAAATCGATTTGGTATTGTAATAGAACTAGAGTTTAAAATTGGAAATGCGTTTTTGGCCATTTTTTTTTTTTTTAAATCTTTCAAACCAATGTTTGTTTTAAGAAAAAATATCCATGAGAATGGGCATATGCAACAGAAACTGCAGGTACTTCAGTTTAAATTAAACATGATGCCCAATGAAAATCAGGGAACCAGAGGTGATTAGTAATTTTTTTTTTTAAATCATTTTAAAACTCTATTTCATTAAGAAATGAATTAATAGTAAACATCTTACTTATGTGCACTTCCTCCAAAGATGAAAGAGCTTTAGAATGGAAAAATTGTCAGCAACTTCATATGATGTCCAAATGTGAAAAAGCTTTATTTTTAAGATGCTTAAGTAAAAGAAACGAAGATTGTTGCTGCACAATTGATCACAGAAAAAAAAAATTCAAAATTTTTTTATTTTATTACTAAAATTGACTTCCATTATTATTATATATAGATAGAATTATAGAAACTGAGGATGCAGTGGAGCTGTCTTAATGGATGACAAACCCTAGGGTTTGAAGGGTGCAGTGGAGCTGAAGTTGTATACCCTTAGAAAAATGAGATAACTTGTGTAGAGTTTATGAACTTAGGGTGTGTTTGGTTCATGGGTTTAGCTATCAGGAATTGGAATCGAATTCATTGTTATTGTTTGATTGATAGGTTTCTAGAGTACTACTTGAGAATATGAGATACCCTCCCATTTCTTAGGTATTATCACAATCCCTTGTCTTATTGCAAATGTTGTCATTTTAATTCATTGCCTTAGTTAATTATTGTTCAATCTCTTAGTTAATTAATTTTAAATAATTTATTTCTATATTTTACCACTACATTATTTATTTATTTATTTATTTTAATTTTAAAATTTATTAAAATACATAAAAATAGGTTAACGGTATTCAAGTAAAAATAATCATCATAACATAAAAAAATAACTCTTCACCAAACAAAGATTGCATTTTTTTATTTGGTTTATTTTCCTGAAAATGAACATATTATTTGTACTAATAATAATAATAATAATAATAATAATAATAATAATATGGGGTGATAGTGGGAGTGTGGTGGTAGTGGTGGTGGTGTGGTTCGTAGTAGTGGTGGTGGAGATGGTGGTGGTATTGGTAGTAGTGGTCGTGGTGGTGGTGTGATAGTGGTAGTAGTGGTGTTGACGGCGGTATACCAGAATTTTAAACTAAACACAAAAATCTAACATTCACAATAATCTAATATTCTCAACAATTTAATATTATCTAAGGCAATATAAAGCTCCCTTCAAAGTTTCAAAGTATATCTAGAAATTTTTAAAGTCTACTCTAATTGACGAAATCATTTTTGTAGTGGTGAAGTTTGTAAATGTAACATTTTTCATACTACAAAGTACAATCAACATATACTGTATTCTCCTATCTACAAAAACCACTATATTATATTACTTTGTGTTATTATTTTATAGAATATTTCTATTTAATATTATGTAAAATCGTTAATTGTTTATTAATATTGAAAATAATATGTAATTATATAGGTACTTTTATTTGTTTGTTATTTGGTATTCAGATCAATATGATACAAATGATTTATAAATAATTATCGGTTAACTAGTTTTACACGTGCATTGCGCGAATGAGTTAATGCCCAATGTTTATAATTAAATAAATATTTAAAAATATATCAATGCAAGATTATATATGAGAAGTTCCTACATAAGTAATTTAATGTCGAATTTGTTTATTTAAATATGTAACTCATAGTATATGAATACAATGTAATATAGGAGATTCATTATAATTGTTACTAAACTTTTTTTAAATAGTAACCAAGAATTTTTGTTGCAAAGGGTTCTAATATATTTAATGAATGCACATATATACAAGATCAATGAATGAATCAACGGTACCAGTCCTTTAGGTGTTTTGCTCAGTATTCATTTAGTTCAACCATTATTTTTGAATAAATTATTATGGATAAAGAAATTTTTAATTTAAGGAATTTAGATGAAGTAGTAAAAATTTAAAAATTTTAATTATAATGTAAGCCAAAGATATTGGACGATTGGTAAATGATGTAACTCAAAGATCAAAATACTAAAGAAAGTGTTTGGTTATTCAACAGTTTGAAGCAACAATTTGTTCCAAGCCACTGAAAATACAAACATTAAAATTTACAATATTTTCACTTAGCGTTTTTGAGAACGCGATTTTCTCAAAATACTTCTATATTTAAAAAAAAAAGGTTAAAATTGTAATGCCATTTCGACTCTTTAAATAACAAGAGCCAGTTTTGGTGGCTCACTGCTTGCCCATCAACGGATGGGCAAACTTATTTTTAAATTGGAGCCTTAAGGCTCCTTTTATAGGAGCCTCAAGGCTCCCATGCCACTTTTCCCACAGATGTGAAAAAAGTGGCAAAACTAAGGGGAGCCGAACATTCGACTCCCCATATGTTTTACATAAAATTTTATTTCTTTTATTAAAGTACTATTATTATTATTATTATTTTTTAAAAAATTAATAATAATAATAATAATAATAATAATAATAATAATATTATTATTATTATTATTATTATTATTATTATTATTATTATTATTATTTTACTCTTGTGTCATTTTACATGTTAATCTAAACGGCTAATTTTTTCAAATATCTTTTTTACCAACCGTTGATATAATTCGCTGGTCAAATCCGCTAACGCTAAACGCTAACTGCTGATTGTCAAACAAGGACATTGCGAGATAGTTTCCTACATCAATTTGTTGTGTGATTTGAATACTCTCTTTGTCAACAAATCGCTCAAGTAGTTAATATTATTGGCTTAATTTTTTTAAAAAAATTTTCATGGTATTAATAAAATACTTGGTAAATAAATATATAACATTATTTTGTATTATAACTTTGATATTTAATTAAAAAATAATGCATAAAAAAGATAATAGAGACAATGTAGTGAATATAATCAATTGATGAATTTGAATGTAAAGAATTTTTACATTGGAGTGAATATAATCCAAGTTAACCACCCATGGTCCTTAAAGTATTAAATTTTAACCAACCATGGTCCTTTAAAGAGAACCATAGCTGGTTAAATTTTGAAACTTGAAGAACCATGGGTGGTTAACTTGGATCGCGAATGGTTAAATTTGAAAGTTGAAGGACCACAGATGGTCAATTTGAAAGTTTAGGACTAAACGTGGCAAACTATACTCGGAGGACCTCAGATGGTATTAACTCAAAAAGTAAATAATAAAAATAATATCTAATAAACTTAAATCGTATGCCTACTATAAATAAAGAATAATACGAAAAATATTTATGTGACAACTGAATTGATCTAATAGTAATAAATTACTAATTAATTTTATTCCAAAATAATTTTGCATTATTGAGTCATATAATTGGATAGAAACATATACCATGCCATGTCTATTAACATGGTAACTCTTTATACTTATACTACCCCAAATAAATAATAAAGGCATTAAGTTATACAAATCCAATGACTTTTCAAAGTTTTAAGAATTCATTATATCATGGACCAGGGCTAATAGTGCATTATGGACCCTAGTGCGGCATGTATACAAGTTTTACGTTTTGAGTTTTTACGTTTTGTATTATGAAATTCTATACATGAAGAGTATGAATTTTGTACTTAAAAAACATTATTAATTGTGTCTTGGTGTTGTGAAATTTTGTGTCTATCAACACAAATTATATACCTAAATCAAATAACATCTGTATTTGTACCTTACACGAAAATCTGTGATTTGTTGTGTCTTTATATTATGAAATTCTGTATCTTAGGAATATAAATTCTATACTTGGGATCAATAATGCTATATGGATCCTGATCTATGATATAAATTGCGGACTTGCAGAGGCTAATTTGCCGATCACGTAACCATAACCTTTTCCTAGAATAGATATACAAAAATATGAAGTTCAATTCTTATCTGATCTCTTCCTTAATAACCCACCCGCCCACGGCTTCCACCACCGCTACTCAAAGCTAGCGGTGCCATTGCTTTCTTGCTTGCTTTAAGTCTTTAACGCATGAATGAAGCTAAGGAAGCCAAGTCTAAACACATTTCTCCATTCTAAATTTAACCTGAGAATGAAAGAGACAAACACCAACGACGTCACCAACCAGGATATATGCATGCCTTCTACTACCTTAGCCTCTTCAAAACCAACACTCTCACCCTCCTCAGCTTCTGCATTATATTGAGAGAAATCCATCCACCAAATACACCCTCAGGCCTCAGCTTAAAATTTTCTTTTCCTTTTCCTCTTTGTAAGAAATGGCAGAAAATCAGGTGGCGCAAAACCCAAGCAACAGCAGCAGCTCCAACACCACCCGCCGTTCCCGCTCTATCTACAGCACTGATCGGGATTTGGAGTCAGCTTCTTCGCTTTCTTGCCGTATCTGCCTTGACAGTGACACCAGAGAAGGCGACCAACTCATAGCTCCTTGCCGCTGTAAAGGCTCCCAAGAGTTCGTCCATAGAGAATGCTTGGACCACTGGAGATCTATCAGAGTGAGCGGGCAATATCATTTTTGTTCCTACACATACATATTGTTGTACTGTAATTCAGTTTAAACGATTATTTATATATAATTGTATTGCAGGAAGGTTTTGCTTTCACCCACTGCTCCACTTGTAAAGCAGCATTTGGATTACAAGTGAAAGAGGTGAAATATGACATTGTCACAAGACTAAAGCACAAGCTCTTTGTGGTCAAGGATTTTTTTGTTCATTTCCTGATTGCACAAGCAGTAAGTATAATAATATATATAATATATAATGTTTCTTTATACATCTTCCTAGCTTCATCAACTCTACCTTTCATGTTTCATCCTATACTAGCTCATTAATTAGATGTACCTAGCTATATATGATTCTTATGATATCTTATTTCTCCCCAGCTAATTGTAGTGCTTGGTGGGTATATGTACATTGTGGATTACGAGGGAGTGATTCACAAGGCTGTTGATAAGTATTTGAGCTTCTTGTCTTCACAATCCACTATTTCCTTCTACTACAGCATGGGTACGCATATTGTTGAAAGGTTGTTATTGTTTAGTCTAATTGTACTGTTTAGTCTGATGATGATGTAAATGAAACAGGAGCACTGGTCTTCCTTATTGGCTTGGGATGTTATTGTTTCTTAAAAACTTGCATCTCCCTTGCTAATTTGGACCAACGTATAGCCGGCTGCCAAAACTTTTGCCTTGCCATGTTGATGTGGAATTGCCTTCCTGCTACAATGTTCATCATTGTTACCATATATGTCTTCATTTTTTGTGGTATTGCTTATGGTTTGTTTCTTGCTACACATAAGAGTTGGCATCGCCACTACCAAATCCTAGAGAAGCGGAATCTTACACAGGTTTAATCATTCAACTTTAATACGATTGTAAATTTTATCAAGAGATGACGCATCATAATCCATTTAAATAATGTGTTATTTTTATTTTAATTGTTTCTCTTAAATGTTACAGGTGTACGTAGTGGTGGATCAACATGGCCATTATACCCCACCAACACTAGATCCGAGGCATGAACAACACCTTCGATCTCTTAATCTATTGTAGAGCTGAGGGAAATATTTAATTGATGGCTCCAAATACCTTGCATATGTCATTTGAATGCTTTTTTGGGATGTTGCTCACCATTGTATATACTTTAATCTTTTACCCAGTGAAATAAATTACTTCTTCATTGTTTTAACCTTATTTTACAATACCAACTCATCGTATGGTTTCCCTATTTCTGGATTATACCATCCAGTGAGTTGTTTTCCTCTGACAACATAACCTCTTAATGTGTAGTAAATAGAAAAGAAGCAAAAACCAACATCACCCACCACCTATGATGATGCCTTTTAATGACAACTTATTTAATTGACTCAATCTTAGACTCTGCGTTTTCCTAACCAGCTCTAAGTGTCATAATGTTGACATATTAATTAGGAAGATGCTCATTAAGATTGCTAATTTGTGTCGATTTCAAAATTAATTTTAAATGTTTTATTAAATGAAATAATAACAATGAGCTCGCATGGCTATTCTAGCTATAAACTAGATTGCAATCCCGGCAATGCCTACATTCTTATTTTTAATTAATAGTATTGTTTAGTTTATTGATACTCACTTTATTGCTTTCACTTAACAATTTTTTTTATATTGTATTATTATAACGAAGTGGTTAGTAGTTAGGTTGTTGTTGGTGGTGTTGAAAGTTTTTTTTTTTTTTTTAGAAAATAAATTATACACTTAAAGGTCATTTTGTATGTAATAAGCTAACAGCTAATTTACCAAACATGTTTCTAGAACAAGCTAATGTTATAAACTAGTCAAACCTCCTAACCCAATCCGCTAGCAGCTATTTGCCAAACACATCCTTTCTATCATTTTTCAAACTTTTCAAAATACCTCTAAATGAGCTTGAATTTTGAAATTAGAGTTTTATAACAAAGCTTGAAAACAAGTTTCCTCACAACAAAAGTCTTTAGCTTGGCTTAGAAAGAGTAGCTAAGGTTTGAACAAATAAACGTACGTGATTGAGTGTATGTCAAATATGGGGTTAGTTCGCAGGTTAATAAGCAAGTAAGTACCTAAAGTAAAATGACAAATGTTTTTATAACGGTTAAGAAACTTTCCTTCTTCACTATTCTCCTTAACTCCAAAGAGGTTCCAGTAATTATTGTTTTGAATACAAAGTAATTAAGAAAGCTTAGCTTCTACCGATGATAGTCCTTAAAATATAATAGGGGTCAACCACAATGTCACTCTACTCTTCACTATCCAATCAGAGCTAGCCAAGGGTCGTCCACTAAGTCTCCTTGCTAGGTTGATCTCATATAGTTGTTGGTTTGTTGAGTGCTAGACTTGGAAATCCCAAATTAAGATTTCACTTCAGCTAGAGAGCTTGGACGACACCTTGAATAATTGCACTTAGAATTTTTATCACACCACCATCTTCTCTCTTACCTTAGAGTTCTCCTTTTTATAAACAAGGAGAGATGAGCGTCAATTTTGATTTTTATTCTTCCCGCTCTCACTCAGCAAGTTGTAGCCATCCAATAGTTGCCACAACCCCCTAAAATTGACTGCCATTTTTATAACTTTTGCAGCTTATCCATAGGGTAATGACAATTTCCCTTTTTAGCTTATAAGCACTTCAAAAGTCAAAAATGAGTTGTTCCTGCACCAATCTATTTTATCTATAGACTTCTAAGTGTCATGCAAGTTGCATCCTTCAAATGACTCTTTTTGTTCTTCCTTGAATGATCTCCTTCCAAAGTTTATCTTCCTTAAATCATTCTTCAATGAGTCTCCAGCATGCTTGGAATACAGTGGAGATTTTCTTTCATCATCTAAAAATACCTGTCAAGATTTCTTATGGTCTTAGACTTTTATCGATCCCCTTAACTCCCTACTGACCTAACTCCTTCCGCTTGTTTCCTTCTGAATCTCTTTCTTTCGAAGCCTTCCTTTAGGACGCTTCCTTCCAAAACTGCTTCCTTCTAGTAAGTCCAACTGGCGTAACTTATCTAAATTTACATACAAAGAATGAGGGGTCCTAAATGCTTAGTGCTCTTTATATCATCAAAATCTATTACAAATATTCGTAACAAATAAACTTTCTAAAAATATGCATCAAATACCTACACACTTGTAAAGACTATAATAGTATAGTATAGATTGAATACCACCTAACTTTTATGGCATGTTTGGTTCATGAAATAGGTCAGGAATGAAATAACATTCTTTGGAATAGACCTATTTCATTGTTTGGTTGGATCATTTTGTCATGGGAATAACATTCCTAGGAATGAGTTATTACCTTTGTAAAGGGAATAGCCATTCCTAGGGGGGCCTTGGTATTAGCTATTCCCATTCTCTTGGGAATAGCTTTTATATCACAAATACCAAAAATACCCTTTGCACATTATTTAATATTTATATTTAATAAATATAATGTATTATATAAATGTATATATTTAATTAATTATAATTTATATCTATCAATAAATATATATTTAAATAAATTATATGTATATATATATATACACACACACACACATTTTGCAACGTTTGCAATTGGCATTTTGGAAAAAGAAAATCTTTCCCCAAAACACCCTTGACATTTATATTTATATATTTATATTTATATGGTGCGTAAATTTTTGTTTATGTAGTTAACAATCATACTGTGTTGAGTAATAATAATAATAATAATCATCATCATAATCATAATCATAATCATAATAATAATAATATATTTTGTACAATGGCATTTATATCTTTTTATTTTTATTCCTTAACCAACCAAACATTGGAATACAATTTCTAAAATTTATTCCTTCAGCGAACCAAATACAATTCTTATTCTATTACTTACATATTTCATTCCCTATGAAATAGTTCATATTCCCTCCAAATCCAAATTAATTAAATTGAATACACCCCCTTAGTTAAGTTTTACTAACTCATCCATACAAATCTAGATTGAGTATACACCCCTATAGTTAAGTTTTAACAACTCATCAATTATCATCAATATTGCATTAAGAAGACTTAATTACTTATTTTAATATGAAAACAGTTAGGACATGATATTTATTCTCAATTATAACTATAAACAACAATACACATGCATCATTACTACTACTTTTATCACAAACTGAAAATACTAATTTTTTTTATTATATTGAAAATAATTATATTTTATATTATTTAATTTTTATATTTAAAATTTATATTAATTATTTACTTATTTTAATTTCTATATTGGGCATTAATTTAATCGTGCAATGCACGTATATATTATAACTAATATGTAAAGAAATATGAATTTCCCTATCTCTAATTAACTTCTGTAACAACCTGTCCATGACAAATTATATTATGGACCATGGTCCGTCTTATAAGGTATATTTTTAATATGCTGAAGGAACATTATTTGTATACTAAAAGTTCGAGTTAATAACCAAAATGGTCTATCAACTATGCTGTAATTACCAATTTAGTCCTCAACATCATTCTTACCTAGTTAAGTCTGTGTAATCTTTGTCCAATTTAGTCCTCTGTTAAATTTTCTGTTTGTTGATGGTTAAAATTAAGGGTAAATTTTTAATTTCATAAGCTTCATGAGGAGAGACAAGCACAGCCAGGTTCTCTGCAAAGACAACGCTTATGTTTTCCATTTCGCACTCAAATTTGGAGCATTTGACTCTAGATTTTGGTGTGATTGTCTCAACAGCTTTTCCCTCTCTATGTTCTTCCCCACCGCTGTAACCACCGTCAAACCCTCACCTTCCTCCGCCTCCTCCGCCGGCTTTTCACCTGTAAACACGGCGGTATTAACACCACCGCCTCTTTTGATGAAAATCCCATGGGCGGGGACTTCGTCCCCGGGCTCCAAGCAAACAACCTCGTCGGCCATTACCTCGGACGCCGAGATTTGAAGCTTTTAGCCATGTCGAATCACCTTAACCAGTCCCACGTTTCTCCGCTTCGACCATCTCTTCTTATTCATGCACTTAGACTTTACTGTAAAGTATTCTTCTCCAAGCTGTGTCATGATATGTACCACCAAATCTTCTTCGCCAATAGGGCTTGGTGCTAACACAAGTGCATCTGCAATGGAACGCATTTCCTGCATATACTCAATAACAGGACGCCCACCTAGCGGATTTTGGCTAATTTTGCTTTAAGGGATACAATACGGGAACGAGATGAACTAGCATAACTAGTAGTCAAGCGTTCCCAGACCTCACGGGATGTTGCAGCAGAGGATATCAATGGTTGAATTGTGTCAGAACAACTACCGAGAATGGCACTAATGATAACTTGATCTACAGGGATTAGTTGAGGTTTGCGTTGCATCAGTTTGCTTGTATGGTACCATCAATGTATCCGACAAGGTCTAATCCAATGAGAGACTATTGAATCTGTCTTCTCCACACAGGAAAATTGGAGGGTGTTAGTTTAATAGGGAAGTTTGTGGGGGCATTTAGTTGGATAACAGTTGTCTGGGCTGTGATTTGACATATCAAGAAGGCTGGAAAAAAAAATTAAGTTATCGTTTGAGTATGAGTGGCTCTTGATACCATGTAAAGTATTTAGGGAAGGAAACTCAATATCTTATTGATGTCATGCATAGGCTTTTATACAAAGAAATATACAGAGATGAAAGGCAAACCTGTAGTTACAGTAACAACCACATAGAATAGTTCAAATAAGAAACTAAATAATAGGAACCAACCTACACTAACATTAAGCTTTATCATTTACAACCTTAAAAACCGCTCCGAAATGGAGGGAGAGAAATATGGCCACGAAAAAATAGCTCCGTCGAGAAATCCTTGTCGAGCCCCATTTCTCCGAACCCCAATGGCAATAGAAAGTGCGATGCAACAAAGAAGGAGAGAAAACGTCGAGTTTCTCATTGCTTCCCAGACAAGTTCATGGAAGGTGAAGGCACTAGGCGGTTGATGTTCGAAGACGACAACGTTGGTCCCAAACGCTGTTCGTCGGCGGTGGATATCCGCCTCGTCTCCGGCTTTGCCGGATGTAATACTGGTTTGTAAGCCATCAAAGGAGTCCACTGTTTCGCTCTTCCAGGATCTGTTCTAGCTGTTTCGATGTAAGTGCGAAGGTGGAAAGAGGAAGCTGGTCATTATCTAAATTGTTCATCTTTGAAGAAGACAGGAA